TTGTTTATTTCCTTGTCCTCCTCTTCTTCATCTATCTCCTCCTCTTCATCCTTTCCTTTGTTTATTTCCTTGTCCTCCTCCTCTTCTTCGTCTATCTCCTTCATTTCCTCCTTTCTCTTGTTTATTTCATTGTCCCCATCGTCAACTTCTTCATCCTCCTCTTCATCCTCCTCCTCATCTACTCCTTCATCCTTCTCCTCATCTTCTTTTACATCCTCCACATTGTTCACCTCTTCCTCCTCTCCCCTCTCCTCTTCCTCCTCATCTACTCCTTCATCCTTCTCCTCATCTTCTTTTACATCCTCCACATTGTTCACCTCTTCCTCCTCTCCCCTCTCCTCTTCCTCCTCTGGCTCGACCCATCCTTTCAGAGTCCTCCAGGCCTCCGTCCACTCTTCCCTGTCTGCGATGTCTTCGTCCAGCTGTGAGGCGAGGAGGACGTTTGTGTTGATTCGTCTCCTCGTCATCATGTCGCTGTGTCTCTGATGAGACTCCAGAGAAGCTGTGCACCACCTGTGGGCGGAGTCTGGGTTTTAGTTTTTAGATCAACTGGATGAACAAAAATAACTTTAATAACACAGGGTCTCCATCGCACTGTGTCTCCACCAGGGGGCAGCGACACGTTCAATTTTCAATGTGTTAAACAGTGGAGATAGATAGATAGATAGATAGATGATAGATAGATGGATAGACAGATAGATGATAGATAGATAGATAGATAGATAGATAGATAGATAGATAGATAGATAGATAGATAGATAGATAGATGGATAGACAGATAGGTAGATAGATAGATAGATGGACAGATGGACAGATGGACAGACAGACAGAGGGACCTGATCTGCTGTCTGTATCCCCAGCAGGAACTCCAGTTCTTCTCACGCTCCTCATCGTCCCCTAGTGGAGCTGCAGAGAACAGCCAGGAGTTGCTCCACCCAGGCAGGAAGACGTCGTTTATCTTCATCATCACTGAGGAATCGTCTCTCCGGGACGTTCCAGTTGATGTCTCATCATCTTCTTCATCTTCTTCTTCCTCTTCATATTCCTCATCTTCTTCATCTTCTTCTTCCTCTTCATATTCCTCATCTTCTTCATCTTCTTCTTCCTCTTCATATTCCTCATCTTCTTCATCTTCCTCATCTTCGTAATCTTCGTTATTTTCATCATCTTCGTCATCTTCAGCTTCCAGCTCTGCCCCGGACAGTTTCCAGGACTCCTCCCAGTCTGAGGGCGTGTCCTGTTTGACCACGATAACAAATGTTTTTTATCAACATCAGATTTAAAGAAAGAGCAAAGTCAGAACAATAAAAAGTGACTGTGTTTGAATCCCACCTGCTCGTCAAACTGCTCCAGCTCCTCTGACTTGTCGCTGGGGGGTTGTGGGTAATCAGGCCAAACACGATCCCAGCTCGGCTTCTGTTGTCTGAAGACAAAGTTCATGATCTTCCACGTTCCGGCCCAGACGGGAAGAGAAAACTCTTCTACTTTAGCTTTGGAATCTAATTTTCTTTCAAACAAAATCTCCCACTGAAACCGTGTCAGCTCCGGACGCTCCGACTGCTCCGGACGCTTCACCTGGAAACAAGTAGCGACAAAGACGCGGTGTACAAGATGTTAATCAGTCCAACAGCTGGATGCAGATGTTGTTTCCTCTTCCTCCTCCTGAATGGAAGAAGACAACACGAGCCACGACTAGAAATCAAACTCAAAACCGATCAGAAAGGAAACATTATCTCTTTGAGGCCAAGTTTAAAATTGAAGGAACTACACATCCCATAATCCATTGCAAATGATCCCTATCGAATGTGAAACTATGAGTTCGAGTGTCTGTACCTGTTTCCATGAGTGACTCCATTCCTCAGCAGGAGGCGTCACTTCCTCCTCTGATGTGCTCACATCCTGTTTGTACAGCCTGTTGTTCGTCACCTCTATGGTTGTGAATCCCGGGACTCTGGGTTTTTTCTCTTTGTCCCTCAGGTAAAGATATTTCGGAGGCTTCAGGCTCTTCCAGGACTCTTTCCAGCACAGGCCGAACACGTCCACCTCCACTTTGCGTTTCGGCCTGTGAGGTTTGGGAGACGACCTCCTCCTGGGAAGAGGAGGAGGCGGACGAGGCTCGGGTTTGGATTTGGGAGGAGGAGGAACGATTTTGAATTTGATCTTCGGCTTGTTGGTGTTGGCTTCGTCCTCACGGCCGGAGAGTTTCCTGAAGTCGGACATCTCACCTTTGGTCTGGTCTCCATTGGTGACAGACAAGTGATAAGTCCACTTTGAGAAAAGTCTGTTCAAACAGAACAAAGAGGTTTACTGAACATTGAAATGCACTGACATTCAGGCAGATTGTTTTATTTGATATTTTCATGGTTTGTACTTTATGGGAAGATTTAAAATCTCTCTTCTCTGTCTCATGAATATCAAGATTTATTCTCACAGTTTGAGGGAACTCTTCTCCTTCCACTCAGACTCTTGTTTGCACTGGTCCGCCTCGCTCTGAGCTCTCTTCTCCCATTTGTCTCTCAGTCGCCCGTTGCTGAATGATCTCTGCTCCTCTTTTTTGGACAACATCCTGACACACACACACACACACACACACACACACACACACACACACACACACACACACACACACAAATAAACACGCCTTGTGAAGAACAGACAGGGTGCTTGATCGTTAGCGTAAAAAAAAACGAGAAAAGAAACAAAAACAAAATTTTGGGAAAATAATGTGATTTTTGAGTTTTTTAAAACTTCACCAAGAAGCGAAGAGAAGATTTGAACAACTGAGGAACTTGATAGTAGTTTGATATCTGTCTTATCATGTTAATGTATTTTACAAATCATTTTATGAGAGTAAATGATCAGAGCTGATCTTAAGGTCATTCAAACAAATCCCGACTGTCTTTTTTGTTTCTGTTCTCATTCAGAATTAAAGAAGAGCGACTTCATCACGTGATCTCTGTGCTCTGCTGCCAAAACACTGAGCGGACTCAGACATGAACGTGCAAATATAAATTAGAATTTCACACTCGAATCTATTTCTGCTCGTACAAATCCGTGTCTCAGATGTTGACTTGCAGACTGAGTGATGCTCCAGGTTTGGTTTGTCAAGTCATTTTTAAAATGATGTAACATGATCATAATGTCACAACAACAACAAAGATCTTGTTGGAGTGGATTCATTTCATTTAATGAAGAATCAACATGTCAGCAGTAAAGATATTGTGAAGAAATGATAACACGTTAATTTACTCTCACGGTTCAGACACAGGAAAACCAACACACCGAATGTACAAATACTGATTTTCTGTTCAATCATCTCACTCAGACACATTTATGAAACATGAAACACAGAATTTACTGTGTGAGGAAGTCTAGGTTCAACTCTCAGTGTCTTGTTGGAGAATGACTCGTCAAAGAAGACGGCTGACGTCACGCTGTCACTAAACACCACAGCAACATGACTCTGAGAGCAGCCACAGGAAAACGAAGGCATAATTCTAATTATCAAAAACTGATGGATTGTAAAACAGTTTGTATCTGGCTCTAATAAGAAAAAATATTTCTGAATGATGAGAATCGTCTGTGTAATTTAAAAGTCACAGACTTGAATCTGTCCGGACGAGAGAATCTGGGATTTATTTATCTATTATTTATTATCAGGCTCTGTTGATTCCTCTTAATTTCAAACCACACATCCTGGTATCAGAGACAGTGACATCATCATGTCAACATCTTAATCTGAGGAACCGTTCACGCCTGATGTTCAGCTTCAGACTGAACTGACGAGTCCTGAATCACAACCTGTTGGTTTAACTTTAACCAAAGTGCTTTAATTGTCTAAACTTTGTTCCAGGTTCTGCTCTGTACAGCAGCAGGTGTCTTGGCTCCGCCTTCATCAGTCACATATGACCTCAGGTTTTTATTGTCGCTCTTTAGCTCAACGTGAAGACTTGTGGAAGACACAACGAACACATCAGCTGCTACTTTCAAACAGAAACTATAAAAAAGTGAATTCAGAGACATCAGCGACAAAGTCCTGACTTACCTGATGTCTTTGTCTGTCTCACTGTTCACGTCCGCTGCTGTGTCCAATCACAAAATACGTCTAGTACAGTAAGTCTGTCTGCACACCTGTCTCCACGTCTGTCTGTCTCCACGTCTGTCTCTGTGTTTACCAGCTTGCACTCGGTCTGGTCTGTAGATCTGCTCTGTGGTGAGCAGGTTTCCTTCTTTGCTATTTTTACATTATACGTTGACAGAGCTGCAGCTCTAAATTTAGAGTCGGGGGTGAAGCCATGCCAAACACGAGGAGAGCGGTCGGCCGTGTGGAAACGTAGAGAAGCGACATGAAATGAATGAATGTTGATATCGATCTTTATTCAACAGGTGCAACAACAAAAACAAGCGGGAAAGCTGTGAACACGTCTGAGCCAATCAGAAAGCAGCGCTGCGAGCTCATTCTGCAAGATGAGACTCAGCACTGACATATATTAGAGTAACAACGCTCAGCCAATCAGAGGGAAGAATGTAGAGCATGTATCAGTAACGCTAACATACATGTAATGTGGCCACGTGCAGCTCCACACGTCATCTAGTGTCACACAGGGCCGGATCAAGACATTTCTCTGCCCTGGATACGGTGCCGCAGCCACACAATTTAAATCAAATTCACTTTTTCTGACCAAACTCAGAACACAGATCGACAACAGATTTATCGTTTGACAAACTCTCGTCATTATCTCGGGTTCGGTTGTTTTCTTTCCACTTGAGTTAACGAACAGATCTGGAATCTTATTTACTGACTCAACACTGACCGTTGTTTGTTGTATTAACTCATTTTGTTCAGTTTGGCAGCCGCTCCTATGGTTCAGGAAGCAGAGGATCATGGGTAATATCCAGCGTTCAGTTGTGTTTCAGTTCAGTGGGACGTCAGAGATCTACATATTGATGGACTTTGTTTTTTCTGCACAATAAAACCACCTCATCATTCGGACACAGCACAACAGAATTAATTTCCTCATGTGGCTGCAGGGGGCGCTGTTATAAACTGTAAAATATCACAGGCTGGAAATGCTGATGCCACATTCACAGAATCTGAAGAATCCTGTTTTCTTATATGAGCGACATGGTCTCAGAGTAGATCTCTGGAGTTTGACTCAAAGCTCGTGGTATAAAAATAGTCGTGGAGCCTGGTCGCAGTTTTCAGCAGCCGGCTGATCCGAGGATCCTGTTACAGGTGAAGGATCTCAGAGAAGTGACCCCTGAACAGCAGCGTCCATGTTTCCAGAAAGTTCACTCGATCAAATTTACACCTGTAGTTTATTTCACCTCCAGACAAAAGAAATAAAGGATATTTCAGTTCAGGGAAAAGAACCAGGAAGTGTAATAAAAATAATAATGGCTTGCATTTATTTATATCGCGCCTTTCACGCTTTATTGTGATGAGTCACGTTGACCCTTCAGGCTTTATTTATCATCGGTGAAGATGGTGAAGAAATAGTTGTTTACAGGCATCATTAGTTCAGACTCTTCATCTGTCATGATTCAGGATCAACAGCGAGAAGAGATCGGTTTCATCAGTTCTGTTCCGTCACAGCGATTCGTTTCCTGCAGTTTGGTATTTGAGGTCTCGACCTTCTATGTAAACAGCCTTGAGATCATGTGTATTGTGATTTGTAGCAATAGACATAAAATAAAATTGAATTGAATAATTTTAGTAAATCTCTTCTAATTTGATAAATCGGAGAAATAAAAAAACACATTGAAAAAAAAAACGGGTAAAATTTTCTTTATTTACATTGTTAGTTTTAGGAAGTTTAAAGAAAATCGCTCAGTTTGATTCGTCTGAGCTGAAACATCTTCTTCTGTTTGGCTTTGGGGCGATTCATGACTGATACAGTGGAAGGAGAAACTTCCATGACTCAGCCCAACCTGAGGGCGTCTTCATGGGCATCTGCTTCCTCAGGCCACCAGGCAGGTCCAAGGACCTCCAAGATTCTGCCCAGTCTTCGTAGAACTTGTCTTTGGTCTCATCCTTCAACGTGACTTTCTTTTCTGAAGCAGGGACCTTCTTAGGATGAGGTTGGGTTTTACCGATGAGGTGGCCTCCTGGGCACTTCTCTGATCGTTCCTCACTTTCAATATTGGAGAACAAATGGCTTCTCATTTCGATCTTCCTCGTTATTATCACCCTCGGGTCAACGAGCTCCTCAGACTTGGACTCCTGCAGTAACAGATAGGAGCTTCTCCACAACCTGTACATCGTAGGGTTGTTGTTTAAGTTAGTGTAGATCTTGTTTTGTGCATCGTTTCCTCTTGACCACATAACTTTATGGTGACATAGGTTGGGAGAGGACTCCAACCAAGGCTTTTCCACGAGGGGCATAGGGTTGGCGAGTCTGAAGGAGCTTCCCCACTTAACTCCATCCTCGTCGGCAGTGGATTGTTGCTGCTGAGGAGTGTTGCACATGCTTTCCCCAGGTTGTCCTGAAGATCTCTGATAACTTGTTTGATGCTTCAGAAGTGACTCAGCTCTCCATGATGTGCTCCACTGTTCCTCAGGGTATCTTTCCCTGAACATCTGGTCGTCTAAAGTCCAACTCATTTTAGCTTCAGCGCTCTGCAAGGACATCTGCTCCTTCATGGGTTGGATCTCCATCGCTTCATCCACGCAGTTCTCTGTAGAACCCTGCTCAGTCCGGTTGTCTGTGTGGAAGGCGGAACACTGCCACGCCTCCCTCCACTGGATTAGTGAAGGTGTATCATGGTGAAACTGACTGTCTGAGACCATCCAGGACGCCTGCCAGTCAGAGCGTGACCCACGATACCTCCTCTGAGCCCGTGATTGATTGGGAAGGTTGCAGGCTGCACTTGAACTTCCTTGGCTGGATTGTGCATTACCTTGTCTAGCTTGTGATCGCTGCTGGCGCCTTGTGGACCTCCAAGATTCTCCCCAACTCCGCTCTGCAGTTGGCCCATTCTTTGGGAGTTCCACAGGCGCAAAGTGGTCCTGACTCCGTGCCCGATCGACTCTGAATTGGGGTGTGGTGGACCAACCTCGCTGCCAGAGTTCATGCTCCTGACGCAGAGGCTGACATCTGTATCTCCATGAGTCTTTCCATTCCGAGGCAGTGGACCCCGTGTCTCTGTCCTCTGACTCCCTGAAAGGCCTCATGGGGTCAGGCCTCATTCTTCTTCTTTCCACCTCCATTCTATGTTTCAGTGTTTTCCAGGAGTCCATCCAATCTGAGGAAAATGAGAAACTTTCCACAGATCTCAGAGAATTCAGCTTAGATTGGGTGAATCCTCTCTCCGGCCGATGTATTATGTCATGTTTCAGTTCCTCATAGTACGGGTCTGCTTCCTCTGATGTTGAATCCTTCCCCTCTGGCTTCTCCATCTTCAAAGTGGTCTCCAAGGCGTTCAGGACTTTCTCTATTTCTTCACATGGTTTTGAGTTGTTTTTCGTTACCTGCCATGACTCGCTCCACTCGGAGAGAGCGTTACATTCGTTGTAGAGCTGCAGGTACAGATCTTTGTATTTGTGCTCATTGGACTCAAACATGATTCTATGAAGAAATGACTGTTCCTGCTGGACGGAATCATCAGGGACATCGCTGTCATCTGGTCTCAAAGAGCGGTCAGAATTCTCATGGTTGTTGTTGACAACCGTAGCGACTCTCCATGAATTTTCCCACTCCGGACTGTGAGAGCTTTGAATTTGAGGCAACTCGGATTTGTTGCAGCCGTGAAGGTTGGAAATCCTCCAACATTCTCCCCACGCGGAGTTTACCTCACACTTCTTATCTTGCTTGTTTATAACAGACTCATTGATTAAAGCTTCATTTGGAAAATGATCCTGCAGACTTGCTGCCTTGGTGGATCTCCATGAATCACTCCACTCGGAGGTTTTGTCGTGGTGCTGACTCTCCAGCAACAAGGTGAAGTATCTGCTGACATTCTCTTCATTTACGGAAGATGGATCTTTCTTGTTGCTTTTGTTTGATTTTCTCCAGGACATCTGCCACTTGTCAGCAGGAAGACTCTCGTCCAGCTCTTGTGTCTCCATCAGGCTGTAGTCTGGTTTCTTCCACAGATGAAGACCGTGAGGGTCCTTCATGTTGGGCCCGTTCGGCCAAGGCTTGCCTGCTTCAGAGTGTGGCTGCTGGGTCGCAAACATCCAGCACTGACCCCAGTCAGATTGAGCCTCTGCTGGTGATGGCAAAGATTTGTTATACTTCCAGGACCTTCCCCACACCATGGCGGAAGGTTCCGTCTGGGTGATGAACGTGAGCAACTGCAACCTGTTGAAACTCTTGTCCTGCCCCTTCTTGTTCTTGTGGCTTGGTGTTTGAGTGGAGAAGCTCCTGCTCTGGGCTCCTGGTCGACCAAGAGATCCTGAACCTGCACCACGAGGAAGCGGAGGAGGAACAGGCTGGTTGCCCTTCCAGAAATTCTCATTGTCTATTTCAGTGGCCACAGGTTTGGGTTTCCTTTCCACATGTTTGTAGTTTCCCTGTCTGGATCTCAAACGATCTGCCCACTCCTTGTTAATACTGTGGGAACAAACATACAAGAAAAAAAACGTCTTCAGTCAATAAAAAGACGATCTTAAATAAATCTCACGTTAACTTCAGGTAAACGGTAAATCTTTCATGGTGACTCACATGTAACAGCTGTAATGAATATCATGTCACGCAAAGGACTACGTCAACATTGCATGAGGGTATGATGGGAATGTGAGTCCACACTGATGGACCTACACCACCACCTGCAGGCTGCGAACTAATAGAGGGAGATATGTTGGGGTCAGTCTCAGCTTTCAGGAGCTGGTCACACCCTCATACTTCATCATGCTGCGTTATGTAATACACGTTGCTGGGTGACAGCATGTATGATGTATTAATATCCTCCAGTTCAGAGGTGTGAGGGCAGCAGCACTGTTTTATTTTTATTTTTAGAGTCATGCATCACTGCTGGGTTCTAACGTCTTGGAATCCAGGATTTTAAAAATATTACGTCATCTGCATGTCACAAAGTGCAACCAACTGGGGAACATACTGCGAACATACTGCAGGGTGTTCTGGGATATTTAATACCTGAGGAATACTAAGTTATGTACCCTGGAAGTATAAATGATTGTGTCACTGGTAATGATTCATTTTTAACCAAGATATTATTGATCGCAAGCAAAAGATTGAACCAAAAGATTGTAACTCTAAATATATATATATATATATAGTATAATACAGTATATATAAACACACTTTTTCTCCACATGAAAACTTTATCCCTCAGACACGGAGGTGGACAGAACTAATCAACGTCTCTCAAAGTATAAATCTAATTTATCAGCAGAATAAAATGTTGCCTCTGTTAAATCTGTGAGTCCGTCAGTCATCGATCAGCTGACGCTTCGGAAGCTGACGCTCGCTTCCCTTCCTTCAACGCGTGTCTCAGAACAACCACACCCAGCAGTTCATGACGGAAAGTACCAGTCGAGTATCAACACATTCACCTGACTGTAAATCAGTCAAGCTCAAAATCAGACTGTTGATCTGAAATAATAAAATCCTGTAATCTCCTCCCACATTTCGTGACACTCTTAATACTTCCTCCATCCAATAAAATGAAAAAGCTGATTAATGATCAGTCGTGTTATTAATTACGTCAGACAACCTGCACACAGACAGACAAACAGTCCTTACGAGGACAGAGCGCTCTTCTCTACTCGGTCCTGCTCCCTCTGCTTCTTCTGGTCCTGCTCTCGGGCCCTGATCTCCCAGACGTTCTTCATGATGGAGGCGTCGCAGCCGACCACCTCAGGGTTCTTCTCAGTCGACATCTTCACTCGGATTCAAAACCTCCTGTCAACGCAGAGAAGAAGAAGTTTTACCAACAAGAAGAAACCCACAAACATTCACATCCTCTGTTGGATGCAGATGATGATATGAGTCTCTGATGCACCTTATCGTGGTGAATGTGGAGACGCTGCAGACGCCTCAGCTCTTATATACGAGTGACTCAGTGTCATTAACATGCTGTCAGAGGTCGGGGGGGGGGGTGTATGTATATATAACGCCCTCCAACACATTCTATACATGCTGCAACGTTATACTGTCGGGGCCAACGACCCCAACGTTTCAGACAAGTATCAAACGTGCCCTCGGGCAAAACGCTGAGCCGCCTGAAAGTGATGCAGTTTATTCAATTCAGGAAAAAACACTGGGAACCATGAACTGCAAATAAGAATGGACGACATGCCGGCTTCCAAAAGTCTTGATCGCCCCCTGGTGTCTGGCTGCAGTATAGGTCATAAACTCCGCCTCCTACATGTTAGCAGATGGGACATGGATCAAACTACAAAATCTAAGTAGATGTTAAATTTTTCAAAATTTCTCAGGGAGTTCTTATCACATTGTTCTGCTCTTGTGCAGGTTTGATTTGTTTTATATAAATTTACAGGTGAAACTTCATGATTGACAGCTGACTTGTGATTGGTCGAGCAGGACCTCAGCGCTGCGGCTCCCGATCATCTGCACAGACTCCAGTTAAGGTCACTGACTCACTGGCAGCGTTGGCATCAGGAATCTTTTGTCCTAATTTCTGGACAGCGTCGGCCATCTTTATATACATTCAGTGTGTGGGAACTGAATGTTCAATATTCAGCTCCGCTCCACATGCAGGGCCTGAACCACTGGAAGGGGTCAAACCTTTGCTCTCCTCGGACGATGTTCAGGTGACGACATCACGTTCAATGTTGCACTTCAGGGCCACCGTACTTTTTCAAATTAGATAACAACAAAATGCTATTACACATTTTTTTAATTTAGCGTCTACTTCCCTGCGTCTTTGGACAAACTGTTAATGAATGAACTTGTGTCCCTGAAGAAATGGAATGAAAAACGACCCTGCACACTAATCTGTGATCGACAGACGGACGGACAACATATGGTGATGGTAAAAATAGTTGAGTCCAGTATGTTCTCTTTTCTCATCTGAGACACGATCACTGGACGAGAACATAAAACCAACACAAACATTGTGGGGTTTGTGTTTGTGGTTGACAACCTGGAACAACACGAACTGGTGTCAGGAGCACACAGACAAATGTACAGAGTCTGTATGAACAGTGTGTTCGTTATCACAGTAACATGAGCAGCTGCTTCATACAGGTGACCAAGTTACTCAGCACTCCACTGCTGTGGCCGAGTGTCAGTACCACTCAGCTGTTTGAATCCAAGTCTGTTCATCGTCATTATTATAATTATTATAATTATTATTGCACCATAGACGAGATAGCCAAAGACTCTCGGTGCAGAAAGCGAAGCCAAAGTTGAAGTGTCACCTGGCAGAAACTTTATTTTTTCTAAAACCTCTTCCTCCTCCTGTGATTCAGGGAACTCCCGTCTGACAGGTTCTTCAATCGCTTATCGGAAGGTTTCTCGATGTCAAGAATGAAATGGCTTTTGTCTCCAGGGGAAAACGTCCACGTGCTCAGCAGGCAGAAGAAAAAATAACATTACAAACAAAACATGACTGTGTTTTCACCATGTGTGTCGTTTTGGTGAATTCAGACTCTGAGCAGATGTGAAGCTTGTTTTTCTGTTTTAACTCACAGTGATGAAACATTTGACTAAAACTGAAATAGGAATAAGAAGCTTTCTACTTTGCCTTTTTATTGCTGAGGAGGAAACTGAAGAAACCCAGTGAGACAGATCCTTATCTCTCAATGTTTTTCATGTGACGGACCGACAGCAGAAGAACAGATGCATGTTTGTATCACAGCATCAGTGATTAAACACAAGTTCATGGTTGAATTCCAGCGGCTGTCAGTCTGAAGGTATTTTGGCTCAGAGGTTAAATTACACCAAGAGTCTCAAAGTATTTGAACTGCTCCACTTTCTCATCACAGGCATCTTAAAAACGTCTTTAAGAAGTTTAACATCCATGTTAAGGTCCTTGACTTTAGATCCCTGCACGTTGAACCTAAATGTTCGATATTAAACCTCAATAGTGAATTTAAACCTTAAATCTAAATGTTAAATGTTAAAACTTGCTCTTCAGCGCCTCATAGCAGCTTGTGGAACATTTCTGTTTCCATGGTTTATGTTTCTGACCTCAAAGATAATTTGACCAATCAGACGTGGCGGAGCTTTGTGCTCTTTGAGTTTCCTCCCGGATTTTCTGTGGATTTGCTGTAAGAATTCAGACGATGTTTCAGAAACAGATGTTTATTGTCAGCAACATCAACGAGTCACTTTACACAGCTTTATCTGAAGAAACGCAGGATAAACAAGTAAACAATGGAAATAAAACACATCATATCAAAGTACTGTACATGCACGTGTTTTTTAATATTCATCACATCTCACCCGACGCACAAAACACAAACTTCAGTGGATTTTTTTTCCTGGCCGCTCTTCATGCTTTTCATGACACGTTATTACAACCCTCCTTTTTTTTTTTTTTTGCTTGGAGGCAAAAATGATGACATTTCTGAGAAAGTGCTTGAAGAACCTGTTCGTCCAGAGTTTACCGAAACAGAGAAGAATGTTTTAGCCGCAGCTGGAGGAAGAAGGGGAAGGAGATAGAAATACAAGTGTTGAGTGAATACATTTTTTCATCCTATATCCTACGGTTTAGAGGGACCGGTCCACTGGGCCAACGAGACACTGCCTATATTTACCTTCAGAGACAACGAAGCCAAAACACGGTGACATACAAACATGTCAAACACATGATACATACAACATACAGTGCTACCGTCATATAAGGAGAAGGAAAGAAGAACATGAACTGTAAACTTCTCCTCATCGTAATGTTACATTCATGAACTGGTAGATCTTTGTGTCTGGTTGCACAGAAAGTTGAATTTAAAAGTTTGCAGGTAAGAAGACGTCTGACGAGGAGCTGGAGGCTGCTTCACATCGGAGGTCTCACGTTGAGGTAAGAGTTGGGCTGGTACAGGTTGTTGGTGTTGTTCTCCTGAGCAGCTAATATGGCCTGAAACAGAATGACCTTCTGCAGCAGCTCGGACATGAAGGTGAAGTTGTAAACCTCCTCGCCCACTGGGACTGTGTCCTTCTGATCCAGCTTCTGATCCATCTTCTGATCCAGCTTCTGATCCATCTTCTGATCCAGCTTCTGATCCAGCTTCCGCTGGACCTCCTTGTACATGTCGTCGCAGAAGTACTGTCCCCCGTTCGCCGCCACCATGTCATCGACTTTCTTCAGCAGCTCCACCACTTGAAATTTGTTGATTTGTTTCTTGTTGTTGAAGACGTGGTACCTGTTCCCGCATTTGTTTATCACCTCTCGGAGTTTGGGATGGCCGTTAAGCACGTAGTCCTGTATGGTTCTGCCCCGCAGCTCGTCACCTCGCGTGAACAGAACAATCATGTACCTGGACGCCTCTGGGCCGAAGATTTGCTCCAGGGCATCCACGCAGTTTTCTTCTTCTTTGGTGAACCTGCCGATCTGCAGAACCAGCAGGAAGACGTGAGGACCTGGAGAGGACACCTGGATGCATTTAGCGATTTCATTCTTGATTCTATCTGCACTTTTAGACGTATCCAGAATCCCAGGCGTGTCGACCACATGGATCTTTCTTCTACTTTTGGCTCGCTCCTTCTCGCAGGTATCTGTCACAGACTGAGCACTCGCACAAGAAAAAAATACCTTTCTACCCACGATGGTGTTACCGACAGCACTTTTACCAACTCCCGTTTTCCCGATCATCACCATCCTTATGTCAGGACCTGCAACAGACATATGCACAGACTTGTGGGAATAAGTGGAAAAGAAATGTTTTTTCGCAGAATAAATACAAATTTTAATTGAGAGCAATCGGAAACATTGACTGGAATAATCTGAAAACAGCTGATGAATGTCGTAAACTTCACCTGCAGGAATCGACAAGCGGACACCCATCTTTGTCTCTGCTCGATCCTTGGGACGAATGAGCAACAATACAGATTCCCAATGGTTTTGTGTGATGCTGTTTTCAGTCGTCCGCCCAGTGGGAGGATCAACCTTTATTAGTCAGGTTCACGTCCGACAGACTTCAAAGCTGATCCAGAGACGCTGGTTAAACCTTCCTGCTGCTTGTTCTTCACCGAGCTGCTAAAATGGAACAAAACAGAGCTCCTCCACCTCGTAAGTGACTTCGCTCATTTCTTCTTTTTTTGTCAAGCCAGCATAAAGTAAACCAGGGTCATTACATTAACCTGTTTAGTAACTTTAAACCTCATCTGTGTTCGTGGATCTGACACATGGAAAAAAATGCAGAAATCAAAGTTCCATCCTGAATCGCTCGAGTGAACAGGAGATTTTGAGAGGATCGTGATTTTCTGAAAACTTCTGCAGTTTTCTTCCTTTCAGTGTTCGGCGATCTTGATTTTGTTTACACAAGTTTTAGTCGGTGCACTGCAGCAGGAATTTAACTCTGGTAACACAACTTTTCAGCAGAGCAGGATACAACTGTTGCAGTGAAGCGTAACACGAACACATTCGAAGGGAGTGTCACCTGCGACTCACAAACTGCTGCCAAAGTCACCATGAGAACAGACTTGAGTCAGTGAACAGTATTATATGCACATCAGCTGTTATTCTTGTTCTGTATTTAAACCAGATATGTGACTGAAATGTATGTTTTTTAATCATGTACCTCATCTTTGCATTAACTTTGTGGAACGTTGTTAATTTTCTATGTAAACGGAGAGATCGTTTTTTCCAAATTAATTGTGTAAGTAGCAGAACCTCCCGAGAATTGAATTTATCACTTTAAAGTTACTGGATCAGTGAATGTGACTTCAGTCGACAAATATTCGTATGAACAGATTAAATCAACAAATGACGAAGTTGAGTGTGTTTTATTTATTCAACCCTAACTGACAAGATAAAGTTTGACCAAGAGAAGAGCCACAGGGTCTTGATCGCCCCCTGGTGTCTGACTGCAGCATGGGTCATAAGCCCCGCCTCCTCCATGTTAGCAGATGGGACATGGACCAAAATCAAAAATCTAAGTGGACGTTAAATAAATGTTTGTCACGGATGGTTTCTGTCATTCCAGGACGTTCTTATCTCACTGATGTTTGTTGATGGTAAAACGGCATCATGATTGACAGCTCTAGTGGTGGAGTGCATGTATGGGCGGGACCTCAATACTGCAGCTCCACTCCATGACGTCATCAGTGCATCAATATTAATAATGACATCATACCAGAACTTATCACATTTTTCTGTCCACAGCGTATCCCGAGAAGTTAACCATCGCTCTGCTTGGAAAGAAGATTGACATGAAGAACATGATTGGAAACATGATCCTCAATGAGCAAGATCATTTTAAATCAAACTCCGACAACCTGGCGATGGGAGAGAACAGCTCATTCTGCGTCATCAATACACCTGACTTCTTTGACACGGAATGTCTGAGCTCGGACCAGCGCATTATTGACTTCATGGCCTTCTCTCATCCAGGCCTCGATCTGTTCATACTGGTCGTAGATTCAGAAAACACCGAAGAGGAAAAAGTTTTTGGTCAAATCACTAGACTTCAGGACATCTTTGGAGAACAAATCACATCACACTTAGTCGTCATGTTGCCAAACTGTGAAAGTTTACAAGCAAATGATCATCTGAAGGAAATGTTCGAAATGCCCATAGTCGTCCCCACCGACAATCTGCCCATCCAGTGCAGGAAGTGGTGTCCGACACGTGATTCCTTCGTGTTTGAGTACAAAGACTACAGTCAAGATGTTGTGTTACGAAGAAAGGCAGCCTTTGAGAAGATGAGGTACAGTCTTTATTACTACGTCAGCAGCTACAGCCTGTATAGACCACAGGGGTCCTGCCGCTGGGTCGTGTTTCTCAGGGTATTGTGAAGGTTTTTTCATCAGACTTCCTGAAAAATGGAATAATGCACCACTGCTGTCGATAGAATAAAAAAATTTACGTCCCTTCATAACTCTTGGATGTGCTCGGGTAGGGTTGCGTATCGTTTGGGTTTACTAGCTAACTGTAGGTTAGCTTAGCATGCTGCCCAGAGTCACGTCGAGAGTGAGTTGCCTGAGTTGAACATAATGTTCTGCGGTGATGGCAAATATCTCAGTTCATAACTCAGTCAAATGCTTAAGTCACGGCAGTGAGATGCTTCCAATTTTCAGAAATCTACAATGAGAAACATGGATTAAAGCAAATTATCCCGACAGCAGGATGGAACCTTTCTCTGTCGCTATCATCTATTGATCTGTTTCCAATAATTACGATATTTGTTTCAGATCCAACCTCGAGCATAACCATGGGAGGGAAGGTAAGGCCGTATGAATGTATGAAGGGCTGGTCTGGTTTGTGTTGTTTCAAAGTACCAGGAATGAAGGAAAGTACCTCAGTGAACGTAGGTATTCATGTTGCATTTTCACAGGTGCTGCAGCAACCGGTCAGTCCACCTTGCAGGGTGACTTTGCTACAGCTCCTCAGATAAGTATGTGATACTCTGCTGTTACGTCGTATTAGGGCCATGTTGAAGAAAAAGAAATGTTGAGATTTCGGGAACAATTTCGCGATTTTATGAGAATAAAGTTGTAATTTATAATTTAATGAGATATACTGCTAGAATGATGTCATCATGGAAAGGGAAGTCGTAATTTATTGGAAGAAATCTAAATGTTTATGACTTTACTTTTTACTTTTTTGTAAAATTAAGACTTTATTCCTATTAATTTTACAACTTTATTCCCTTAAAATTATGACTCAACTGTCAAGAATGTAAAACTTTTCTTGACTTTACGGTGCTTTTATAACGTTTTTCTCAAAATGTCCAAATGTTTTTTCCTTTAAGTGGCTCTAATACTTTGTCACATCGGGCTAATCTCATCTACTGTGGTTAAAAATACTGACAAATTTGATTAACTGCATCTTCAGGTACCAGCATCCTCGCAGTGCAGGACAGCTGCTTTAACATCATTTTTCTGGGACTAACTGGGACCGGAAAGAGTTCATCTGCCAACACCATCCTGGCTTATGGAAAGTCCAAGCAGGAAATAACGCCATTTAAATCGGAGGCGAGCTCCATCCCCATCACCCGCTGCTGTGACATCAGATTAATGAACAAGACGTTCGGGTTGCCTGTGAGACTGGTGGATACTCCGGACTTCTTTCACGACGATCTCAGAAACCCAGAGGTCCATATAAAGGAGTGTAGGAGGTACTGTCAGCGAGGCCAGTGTGTGGTGCTACTCGTGATACAGCTGGGCCGGTTCACGGATGAAGAGACAGGGATTTTACAGAGGCTGGAGAAAAGGTTGGGCTGGAAGATCAGGGAGGAAACAATCCTGCTGCTGACGCACAAAGACGACCTGAGAGAAAATCTGTCACAGCACGTTCAAAAACATCCTAAACTTAATGAGATAGCTCAAATGTGCAGTTACCGTATTCATACATTTGACAACAAGACCAAGGACAAAAGGCAAGTCCTGGAGCTCTTTAGGAAAATTCCATGCTATGAAAACCGTTTCCCTAAGATCGCCAAAAAAGAAGAAGATATCTGCATGATGTGTTAGAACGGCTACGTGTGCTCATCAGTGCAAACTCTAAACGTACAAATGACAAAGTAGTCATACTCTGGCCACTTATGGGAATAGTTCTCCAAAATCTTTAATTCCCTCATTATCAACTCATTATCAACTCACCCACACTACTTCAGCCAAATCCACAAGTAAACAGATTCTTTAAACGTAAAACATAACATGCCTCCGCACTGCTCCTGTGGTGTCATCCAAGTGTTCGTAAGCCCCGATGTTCAAATTCAACACCAAACGTCTTTCAGCCTAAATATCCTCTGTTATCCTGCTCCAGAGCCTCGTTCACGTACACACACACACAAGCTTGCGCCTCTGCAGCTATCGCGAGTTCTCGTGGATCTCGTCGCATCAAATTTGACACGAAAGACGAACAACTTTGTTCACGTACGTAACGAGAACGTGACTCAGCAGAGCTCAAACCTTCACCAAGGCCCAACAGTCCCTTAAATTCAATCAAACCGCACCAAATTACTCACACTCATAGAAATCGCTCCTTTAAATACATGTTTTTATCCATATTATTAGGACTCAGTATTTTTTGCTGTCTGGGGTGAAAACATGATCTCTGTGGTGGAGGGAATAATAAATTCTGTTCCTCTATTTTACTGTGTCACACTCTTTGTATTACCTGTGTCTCTTTATGCAAATATACTGAAAATATACACAAGTAATCTTACATCTTACTTCAGTCTTTATATTTCATCCTTCTCAAACTGCTCAGTTATTACTGTGTGACGTCTCTGTTGATTGTCAGTGAGGCAGATTAAACTGCTGGAGATGATGAAAGTGATCACGTTTAAATGAATCAGAGTCGACGACAGAAAACAACGTGACGTTTTGTTAAATTGATCAATAAACACTTTAAAAAAACAAAGTTGTCTGTTCTGTTGTTGATTTGTCATCAACAGTCACTTTAATTTACTGCACGTGCTCAGAGTCCATGAGTCAGATGAGTCGAGGAATTCACCGATTAAAAAACATGGAACTGGAATAAGTGTGTTTTCAATTCAACAACAATAATAATAGTAATAATATTATAAACTAACAACCAAATTGATCACCATCGTCAGAGTTTAGGTTCTAAGTCAACAGTCATCAGTGTGTGTGTGTGTCTGTGTGTGTGTGTGTGTGTGTGCATGTGAGTGTGTGTGTGCATGTGTGTGTGTGTGTGTGTGAAGTGAGGGCAGGTTTGTAAACAACCACCAGGGGGCAGAACAGAGACGCTGCGACTATGTGGCACGTCATCATCCTGTCTCGGTCTCAAAGATTGTAAATGTAAGACAGAGGCATCACTCCGTCACTCCATCCATATTTTCCTTTCTTAATATATATCGTAAAGTTTATTGTCACGTTGGAGAAACTTCGAACTCTGTATCCGCCTCTGATATAATTATAATAATACTTTGTGACGTGAGATTCTCTTCAACAAACTCAGAGGAGAAAATTGAATAAACCCAGAACACGTGGTTCGATGGAGAAAACCCCGCCTCGCATCTGCGATCTTTGATGACACGTCATCTTTGTGTTCCGGTGACGTCAGAATGCGACAGGGCCGCCTGGCGGACAGACATGGCCGCATCACCGGAGCCGAGCCTCGGCGGCGGGTGCCCCGGTTCTCCCCGGACGATGAGGTCCTGGTGGCGGCTGGCGGTGCTCCTGTTCTCCGTGTGGTCCCTGCCCGGGGCCTCGGGCCTGGTGGAGGGTCTCTACTGCGGCACCGAGGTCTGCTACGATGTGCTCGGCGTCACCCGGGAGGCCGCCAAGGCGGAGATCGCCCGGGCTTACCGGCAGCTGGCCCGCCGGTACCACCCGGACCGGTTCAGGGTGGGAGAGCCGGGTCTGGAGGGGGAGACCAAGGAGTCCGCTCAGCGGAGGTTCCTGCTCATCGTGACCGCGTATGAGACGTTAAAGGTCGGAGGGAAAGTTTGTTCGTGTTTGTGCTCAAAGAGTCAAAGTGTGTTTGTGACAAGTTTAAACTTCAGCTCGTTCACATCCGGTAACTTTCATATGATCAGTCTGAAGGGTTCTGATGACGTCAACAGGTGTTACTGTAATAACAGTACTGTACTACTCTAATACTTGTGTAATACTTGTTATACAAGTATAGTTACTTACAAGCAGTTCTCCTCTTTACCAATGAATCCTCTAATAATAATCTATGGGGATTCTTATGTTCGCCCCTTTTAAGATACATCAGTTAGAAAGTATTTGCACTGCAGTGTAATAACCTGCCACTCCATTCACACACACAGCAGAATAATATTAAAATATCTAGGACAGGAAACCAGAGCCACAAAGATTGAGACGTGACATCGATCAAGGTGAAAATAATAAATGATGAATGTCAGAGAAAGTAAAGACGAAAAATCTGTAAAATAGAAAAAAAGAATCTCTGTTAAACATCCTTAAGATTTAGAGGTAAACAGACAAATACACTCATTAAAGACAAAATTCAAAACCGACATATTAAGTTGTTTTAACTGCAGCTTTGAACTGAAACATCTGGACTGAAAACACACAGAGCAAAATAATTTGAAAAACTATATTTAAATGAAATAATAAGCAACAGTTCAAGGCTTTAAGTGTGTGTGTGTGTGTGTGTGTGTGTGTGTGTGTGTGTGTGTGTGTGTGTGTGTGTGTGCAGGATGAAGAAACCCGGCGGGACTACGACTACATGCTGGACCATCCTGAGGAATATTACCAGCACTACTACACCTACTACCGTCGACAGCTCACACCCAAAGTGGACGTCAGGGTCGTCATCCTGGTCACCATCTGTGCCATCTCCATATTCCAGGTACGACCACAGCGTCCGAGGCTCGAGAGCTTCACATTAAAGAAAAACACAAATACCAGGTTAAAGCAATCATGCAAAACTCCTGCTGCCACCTTGTGGTGGGAAGGGACACAGCGGCACCTAGCCACTAACAAATCCACCAAACTCAGTTTAGAATTCTTCATGTGATGATTCTGAATATTTTTTAGTGTGAACCCGTCAGATAACAACCCCTCGTCTCTCCTGCAGTATTACAGCTGGCACAGCAGCTACAACGAGGCCATCAACTACCTGGTGACGGTCCCCAAGTACCGAATCCAGGCCACCGAGATCGCCAAGCAGCAGGGCCTCCTCAACCGCACCAAGGAGAAGGGCAAGAACCGCCGCTCCAAAGAGGAGATCCGCGAGCAGGAGGAGGAGGTGATCCGTGACATCATCAAAACCAAGATCGACATCAAGGGAGGCTACCAGAAGCCCAACCTGTCGGACATCCTGCTGTGTCAGATTGTGCTCTTCCCCTACTACCTGACCAACTACGTGACCTGGTACGTCTCCTGGGTTTACCGCTTCACCATCTGCAGGGAGGAGTACGGCGACGAGGAGAAACTCTACCTAATCAGGTCAGTTACGGAAAGTTTCACGTGGCAGCGTCAGCGTCCTCTCGGCGACGGGTCGTCTCACAGCTCGCTCTGTTTTCACTCTCAGGAGATCCATGAAGATGTCTCAGTCTCAGTTCGACAGCCTGGACGAACACACCAGACAGACGTTCATGGAGAAACGTCTCTGGATCAAAGAAAACTACGAGGTTTGTGACTTTGAAATCTGTCTTTCTTCTTCTCTCTGCGCGTATTTGTACTTGAGGGACGCTCACAGCAAAGCTGAAGAATTTACCGTGAGCGGCTGTGACCGTTCTCCGTTTGTTTCCTTCAGCTGCACAGGAAGGATCAGGAGGAGGAGATGAAGGTGAAGATGGCGACAGACCCGAGGATGAAGAGGTATCGCCGCTGGATGAAGAACGAGGGACCGGGCCGGCTGACGTTCATCGACGACTGACGGCCGCGAGATCTGTCTGTCACACACACACACACATCTGCCTCAGTGCCGACGCACACGGACATCACGCACCGTGCTGTGTGGAGAAACGCTTGTACAGAAAGATCAACTATGCCTGTTTATACAGTGAGAGATATTTTCATAGCGACCAGGCCTCGGGAAGCGGAATAAACTGCGAGCTGAGAAATGTGAGGGTTTTTATACATGATGCTGTTTTTTTTTTGTTTGGTTTTTTTCATCTTTAAAGATTCTTTTAAACTTTGATTCTGTCATTTTTCTGGTGAAAATGGACGGAGGAGCTTCAGTGCCTGAGTTGTAGTGAAACAGGTGTTATTCAGGTGCAGGGTGATAAACATGACGTTAACATGACGTTAACATGACGCCTGGTAACCGACAGTAAAGTGTCCTTGTTTGAAACGCCTGCCTCCTCCTGCTGCTCGACAGCATCTGAAGAGTAAAACGATTTCTTTCATGAGGAATAAAACAGGGTCAGAGTATTTTTTTTTAAAGAACAGTGACATTTTGGTTGAATTCAGACGAGACGGAATTGGACCTGGATGTATTTAGCGTCATGTATTACAGACGACTGCAGGCAGGGGGAGCTGTTTGCCTGGTTCCATCAGGAGTAAGAACGTTTCTGGTTTACATTTTAATTTGCTTATTGACATGGAGAGAAACATAAGAGATAGAGAGGTGGTGGATAAATTATAAGTTGCAGGAAAGAGGTGAAGAGTTCATCTGACTCTGAGGACGACGATGAAAACATCAACGTAAAGATGAAAAGAGAAACAAGTTCCAGACGTTTGTGTGTGAACCAAAGTCACAGCTGAGTCACAGTTGAGATCTTTATCACGTCTGTGGTTTCTGCTCCGTCTCTTCCACTGCTCACTGTTTAAAGCTTCCTGCTTTTACTTAAGATTATTTATTTGTCTCTCATTTCATTTGTTTTGTGCTGAGGCATTAAAGTCCCACTGTAACTACACCCGTGGACGTTATGTTCTTTGTCTTTCCTGTAAAGTGTCAGTCTTACACTCGAGCGTCCAGGACAACAGGTCTGTCACCAGAGTTCATAATAAAAACACTTGATTTAAAACAGACCAGAAGTTAATTATGATGTGAAGGTTATTATATATTTTAAAGTTTATAAAAGTGAGAAATGTTCCTGCAGACTCATCCTGAGACTCCTCACATCGTTCACTCTAGTTTTAATTTTCAGTCTGATGAGAGACAAGATTATTTTAACTGTGTCTCCTTTAAAATGTCAAACAGTCTTTGTGCAGCAGTCGTGTCTCTGCACGTCTCCAAGGTTCAGAGAAGCAGGACGAGCTTTGTTTATCTCCATACACAACCGCTGCATGCTGCCCCAGTGCCTTTGAGCAGAGCACTAACGCCTCCTGCTTTCTGATGTCAACCGAGCAGAAGAAAAACTTGTGACGCCGGTGGAAAGAAAACGCAGCACGTCAGGTTTCCCATTAACATTAAAAATTATTAACATACATTTTAAAACATACAAAAACAAACAGTACAAGGCAGAAGGACGACAGAAGGCCGAGGTCGTTCCCACATCAACAACAATAACCGTTTTGAGTTTGAACAGTAAAATGAACCGGACGTAACCTCGCTGTGAGTCGAGGCTTCGTAGCGACTTGTCGCTGAGAATCGAACCTGTTGAGATGATCACAGTCAAAATTCTCTTGAAAGGAAAAACAGACGCAAGTGCAGAAACCGACAGATCTCAGAGAGTCCGTCTTTTTTTTAGTGCGGTTATAATAAGAGCTGGAATCTGCCTCAGCAACTAACTACATCACAGGAAGCACGAAGACTGAAGGCTTTACAGGAACAGCTGTTCTGAGGCGTCTGATTGGTTGAAAACATCGAGTGTGAATAAAGATGGAAATGAAGCCAAAATCTCCTGGATGCCACCGCGGCCATCTTGAAGTGATCAGGAAGTAGAGCTGTAGTATAAAGGTCCCGCCCATACATGCACTCGACCAATCAGAAGTCGGTCTCAGCCTTAATATCATCAAATAACTAATTAAAACCATGTGATTGACAGCTGAGCCTGCCTACTGATTGGTCGAGCAGTTGTATGGACGGGACCTTCAAATAACGTCACCAGTACAAGATGGCAGCGTTCGTATCCTGGAGACGTGTCGTCCATCTTTATTTACAGTCACTGGTCTTTACTGGTGTCGTTTTTATTCTAATGTAAAAATGTTTCGGGGGTAATCAGCTCCCGTTGATAAAGTTTTATTTTTAAATGTGCAGCCGGCCGACCCAAAAAATGGAAACTTGATTTCTGATTTGAACAAACGCTGTCCAGTCAAAACTAGACTCTCACGTTCTGCTCAGTTCAAAAATCAGAACAGGACACGTTTATGAAAAACCTTGAGTCTTGAGTAAACCAAAATAAAAAGTACATTTAAACCTTCACTTCATCTTAATCTCTTCATTTAGGAAACACGAGCGACTGTTTCCTCTGACGTGCTGCGGAACAGACTCGCTCTTCTCCGACGTCTGACGAGCGGGAGGTGGTTGGATCTGCTCACAAGGTCAAAACAATCTGATTCTTTTGTTTCAGTAATATTCTCTTTTCGACCGACACGTAGCAAACTGCATCACAGGCTTCGAAACTGAAAACTTAACAGCAGATAAGTTTTTCTGGTAAATTCCAGCGACATCAAAAGTCCAACACAGTCGTGAACTGTCCGGGCAAAGTTCTATTAAAGTGCATTGAACCGCGTTCTCAGCTCCTGAGATCCGTTCGGACGTCAGACGAAGAGGAACCCACCGAAATGCAGATTTATCCAAACGCTGAAACAAACGGAGGACAGACGAGGCGTCGGCCAAAGTTTCGGTTTTTGTCTCTCCATCCTTTTCAGGCGTTCACCGACGATTTAGAAAAAGACAACACAATCCAAAGGCTTCAGTGAAATCACAAGAAAGTCCGATCGTCTTTAACATCAAACGACTTCACGACAGAGTTTTGGCGAAGATGAAAGCAGAAAGAAAAGTTCCGTGTCGGCAGATCAGAGGAGGATCTGCTGACCTTCATCATGTCGGTGAAATGGAGCCTGGAGAAGAAGCACGATATGTGATGAAGCTCTGTACAATAGAAAAACTATAGAATCCCACTCAGGTCAAACTCCAGTGGAAATATTTGTTTTCCATCTTTTCACTGACTCTTCTTTCAGAGAGCGTCCGGGTTGGTTAACGATGGTTTATTGTTAATTACTTATTTTAATTATTTTAATTATTACTCAGTCGTTTTGACTCAACGTGAGTATTTTTCTGGTTTTTATTTCTTCTCATGACAGAACTGGTCTTCAGTCCAGTTTCTGTTCTTCCTGGATGCGATGAGATTTTAGAAATCATCCACGACGCTCGGTTGGATCGTTTGCTTCTGTCTTAAAATGTCCGAACACAAACAGAAGCTCGTTCTCCGCTGATTTTGACTTTTTGTTTCATGGACCAAGAATTCGCCTCCTTCTCGTTTTTCTTTCTTTCACCTCCAGACTTTTCTCCCTCGCTGGGAGTCTGCTCGTGTTTCTGGAGCCACGATGGAGGAAACATGTTCCTGTTTTCTTTTCTGCAGCTCGAGACATTTCTCCAGAGATCGACTTGTTTCTTTGTTCAGCACAGACTCAAACTCTTCCATGTGTTCTGATCATTAGTTGAATCACACGTCACCAAGGCCAAAGCTGTTCCTCTGCAGCAGCTCACTGGAGGAAACCAGACACTAAAAGTGATTCTTTTAAGGTTTGGTTTCTTCAGGTGTGAACACGTCCTGGGGATGAAATAGATTTGAAGTTGTCTCCCTCGTCCTCGACTGAAATACTGCATATAAACTGAATTTCCGGACAAATTTCCTTCTGTCAAAAGGCGTCTGAAAGTTTAAGACTTTGTAAAAGTAACGTAAATCCACGGCCAATTTATTTCTTTATTTTAAGAGTCAAAGAAGGTCGCAGATGAAGAATCATCTTCACTGAGCATCTGTCCTGTGTTCTTCTGCAGCAAGTTTTTTATTTTTGTGTTTGATGGTCAAACACTGGATTGGACGTCTCAGGTGTTTCAAACTGTTTTGTTTCCGGAGGAGCTCAGGACGTCCACGTCACGTTTTTACGAAGTTTTGACCAGGTCGTAGACGTAAATGAGAAAGTCGTCGTCAAACTTGATGAAGTACACGGAGGGTTTGGCCTCCACCTGGTGAATGACCATGCCGGTTCGCTTGCCGCCATCTTCTTTGGCGTACTCGACCTGTTTACCCACCAGGCTGTCCACCACCTCCCCGGGTTCCCTCTCCGTCGGGACGCTGTCGTCTGCAGAGAGACGGAAAAAAAGAAATGTTACAGCAAACACTAGTGAACCAAAAGGAATATTTCTGGATCAAAAACATAACCCCTCCAGCCACTAGGTGTCACCGGTGCTGAGACATGATCAAAGTTTGATTCACATGAAACTCTTGACTCACTGGAGTCGGGCATGATGCGGAGATCTCCTTCTTTATAATCGTCCAGCAGCTGATACATGTAGAGGACGGGGTCCTTCTCGTAGGTGATGTAGAACCAGGTGGTCATGATGGGAGCTCGGGCCAGAACCATCCCCCGCCACTCCTCCTTCGGACCCTCCTCTGTCTCAAACATGTGCTCCACCGCTTTCCCTATCATGGCGTCTGCCAGGCTGACGTCTGTCAGACGGGATTTAGCTGCAGAGATAAATAAGAAATAACATTAATGCAGCATGGGAACATGTTGACGTGGCTTTGAGGGCGTTTGTTTTGTGGACTCTCACCCAGTCGGTCAGGGAGCACCTCCAGCCCCTGGACCCTCTCGTCCTTATGAAGCTCCAGACCATAAACGCAGTCGAAACCATCGTACTTGATCAGGTAGAGAGACGGGTTCACTGGCACCTGTTCAAACACATTCAGATGAAAAACCTTCTGGTGGAAACTGAACTCAGCAGTTCGTGTACGTGGACAGATCGAGATCCACGAGTTTGACGCGCTGCTGAACAACATCTGTTCCTGAGGCTCCTCTAACGTCCGTCTGATCATTACCTGGTCCAGCACCGTTCCTTTCCAGACCACATGACCTCCTCCCTCCTTCCACACGTGTTGGATCCTGCAGCCGACGATGTTGCGTCGAGGCTGCGACAGAACTTTGGTGGTCGGACCCAGACTGCTCTTATGTTTCCTGACATGACACCACACAGTTTGAGTTTGTTTGATTCAGAAACATCATCTTTCAATGTTTCCTGCTGCAGGATGTAAATTATTTTAGCAACGAGAAAAAGAAATAAGCGGTGACCCATCTCGACTCACTTGTGAGGATTCTTCTTCTTCATCATATTTGCAGAAACACCTTCATGCCCTGAGGAGAAAAACAAACCACCGCAGAAATAAGCTGGTTTGTCAGTTCAGTAAATGTATCAGCAAACTTCTAATCAGACAGAGAAACTAAATGAACTGGATTAGATGTAAACATAAGCTCCTCAGTGACACTGAGGTGTGAGACGTGTGTGTGTGTGTGTGTCGGGGCGCTGAGCGTTGACCTCTGACCTGTATCAGCTGTGTCTCTGTGTCCCGGAGCGTTCTTCATTCATCTGGAGGCAGGGAGGCAGCCAGGCTGCCCAGAGCACAGCTTCAACACTAAGCTGCTCCGGACTGAAGCTACAGGAGTTCACCTACCGAGAGGAATCACAACCATGAAGTAACAACCACAGCGGAACTGACTTCCCTTTAACG